CCCCCCCCCCCCCCCCCCCCAGAGCTGAAGACTGAACCCAGAGCCCACTGAGCTAAATCCCCAACCCTGGTGGACTTTAATCTGAAATCAACAGCATATATTGGCAATCAAACATGAATCCAATCTTACCCTCTGCAATGTCTGAACATGATGTACCAATGGCTGTGTCCCCACTATCAGCTATACTTGAACAGCGGCTGAAGCGGCTTCGAAAGGGCTCTGATATAATTGGTGTCTGCCATTCAGTTCCCAGGGAATTGCCTTTCTGAATCACACTGGAAACTGAAACAAGATGCATTTTCCACATTAGTGTGAAACAGCTGATGTAACTCAAAGAAGTACTTTTTTTTCCAGTCTTTATTTAGACAGGGTTTCCCTATAGCCCCAACCGGCCTGGAACTCACTATGTAGACCAGGCTGGACTCAAAATCACAGAGATCTGCCTGCCTCTGTTCCCAAGTGCTGGGACTAAAGGCATGTGCCACCATGCCTAGCTCAGTTTTTGTTTTTGAGGTAGTCATCTTATGTCTTCAAACTCTTGATCCTTATGCATTGGCCCAAATGTGGGTATGGGGGTATTACAGGTGTGTGCCACCACAATTTGTTTTCTTTATTCTTTCTTTTTTTATTTTATTTATGTATTTGTTTATTTGGGCTTTCGAGATAGGGTCTCCCTGTAGCCCTAGCTAGCCCAAAACTTGATATGTACATCAGGCTGGCCTCAATCTCACAGAGATCCACCTGCCTCTGCCTCCCCAGCGCTGGGATTAAAAGTGTGCCACTACACCCAGCAAATTTATTTATTTTAATTTTATGTATATGAATGTTTTATCTACATGTAAATGTTGTGCAATGCCCTCAGAGGTCAGAAGAGGGCATCGGATTTGCTGAAACTGGAGTTACAGACTGCAGTTAGCTGAAATGAAGTGCTAAGAACCGAACTCTGGTCCTTTGCAAGAGCAGCCAGTGCTCTTAACTACTGAGCCATTTCTCCAGCCCCTATTTATTCATTCTTTTGAAGGGCTGGGGATGTATCTCTGAGGTAGAGTGCTTGCCTTATAAGCACAAGGCTAAGGATTCCAAGAGTTCAAAGCCTAGCACCCCCATTCTTTTCAGCTGGTTCTTCACGCACAGCCCAAGCTAGCCTTGAACCTGGCATCTTCCTGCCTCTGTCTTCCAAGTGCTGGGTGTGACATGCACCACCATGACACATGATTTTTAAATTATGTATGTGTGTATGTCTGTATGTGAGTAAGTGTATGTGAGTGCAGGTGCCTTCAGAAGCCAGAAGAGGGTGTTGGATAGCCTCCAAACTGGAGCTACAGGTGGTTGTAAGCGACCTGATGTAGGTGTTGGGAACTGAACTTGGGTCCTCTGCAATTCTATGTGCTCTTAACTTTTGAGCCATTGTGCCAGCCTAAATAATAATAATAATAATTATTATTATTATGTATTTTGAAACAGGGTCTTATTATGTAACCCTGGTTGACCTGGAACTCACTATATAGACTAAGCTGGTCTTGAACTCAAAAAGATCTGCCAGCCTCTGCCTCCCCAATGCTGAGATTAAAGGTATGCACTCCCACACCCAGCTCCAAATTATTTTTATGTGTTTGCATGTATTGCCTGCATGTATGTAAGTGCATCCATATCATGCAATGCCTGCAAAAGACAGAAGAGGGCATTGGATCCCCCGGAACTGGAGTTATGGATGACTGTTAGCTGCCACGTAGGTGCTGGAATTCCAACCTGGGTATTCTGCAACAGCAGCCAGTGTTCTTAACCACTGAACCGTCTCTCCAGCCACCAAATTATTACTTTTTAAAATATTATTATTTGTGTGTGTGTGTGTGTGTGTGAGGATTTCACCTGTGTGCAGGTGCTTGCAGAGGGCAGAACTGGGTGTTAGATCTTTTGGAGCTAGAGTTCTTAGGTGGTTGCATTGTGAGCTGCCCAATGTGGGTGCTGGGAATGGAACTCAAGTCCTTTGCAAGTGCACTATACACTCTTAAATGCTGAGTCCCTCAATTTTTTTTTTTTAACACCACTGTAAATCTTCTAAGTTGTATCTGATGATCCATGTGAACAAAAGTGATGGCAGCTATTTATCCTTCGTTTAAATTAAAGTGCCAAAGTTTACAATGAAATCAGAAAATATATAGACTATTCGATCTAGTAGGGGGCAAATGACATCTGAAACAAATTATCTTAATCTTTTCTTTCAAGTTTAGTGTCTTGCTTCTTTTAAAATCTATTTTCATCATCTTTTTTGCTTTTTCTTCCTTCCTTTTGCTTTCTATTAAAAGTAGCCTAAATTTCTCTAAGATCTCCTATTGTTTGGGTCACAGTCTAATATGAAAGAACATGCCTGCTCTATACATACTTAATCATCAGTAACACTCTGTAAAAGAGATGCAGACAACTACCAGATCTTTTGGGCAGTATGTCATTAGAAAATGTTACTGGAGCCCTGTGTGGTGGTTCATGTGTTTAATCCCAGCACTTGGGAGGCAGAGGCAGGCGGATCTCTGTGAGTTCGAGGCCAACCTGGTCTACACAGTGAGTTCCAGGCCAGCAGGGGCTATAGGGAGACCCTGTCTGAAAATCTTGAAAGAAAGAAAGAAGGAAGGAAGGAAGGAAGGAAGGAAGGAAGGAAGGAAGGAAGGAAGAAATAAATAAAGAAAGAAAGTTGTTACTGTAACATTACATTTAGCCTGAAGTACGGCAACCTGACTTCTAAGTGAGTCCATGTAACTTTTTCGCTCTAGTCATTGTATAATTTGCCAGGCCCTGAAATAGCTAAATATGACTGAACAGTGTTCCTAGCCTCCTACTGGAAACTACTCCAGGTCATTAGTATCTTCTTTTTTTATCAGCACTGTTCCATATTCCACCTGCTCCATATTCTATTCCAATTCTAAGGAGTTATTTAAAATGTTCTTTTTCATGGTCATTGTCACGATCATGGTCATGGTCATCCTTGGCTATATATGGAGTTTGAGACCAGCCTGGACTATATATGAGGCCCTGTCTTAAGATGAAATTTTTTTGTTAAGTCACATGTCCTTACTAAGACCTCTAGATACCTAGGTGAGGTGGCACAGACTTACAATACCAGCACTTGGGAGGTAGAGGCAAGGGGATTACCTCAAATCTAAAGTCAGCCTGGTCTACATAGTGAATTCCAGGCCAGCCATGGCTACACACTGGGGTCTTGTCTCAAAAAACAAACAAACAAACAATCCAACAATCCAAAAATAACAACAAAAACCATCTAAAAGAATAACAAAATTTTGTGTGTATGTTGTGCTGCAGTAAAGACTATTATTAATCTGAGATACTACTGAAGACACATTAAAATGACAGGAAACTTTATTAGAATTGCTACTTTTCAAATACTTGCAATCCTTTTTTTTTGACAAGAGTCTCACTGTAGTCCAGTTGGTCTAGAACTCACTAGGTAGACCAGGCTGGCCTCTAACTCACCGAGATCCATCTGCTTCTGCCTCTCAAGTGCTGGATTAAAGGCAAGTGCCACCACGCCCAGCAAATATTAGCTGGTGCTCAAGTATTATTTAAACTTTTCAAAAACCAATTTATTATTTTTATTTGTACAAGTGTTTTGATTATCAGTATGTTTACTGCTATGTGTGCAGTGCCTGTGAAAGCTAGAAGAGGGTGACAGAACTACCACATGTCTGCTAGGAATCAAATTCCGATCCTCTGGAAGAACAGCAAGTGCTCTTAACTAACCCTGAACCACCTCCCCAGCCCTCTGCATTTACATTTTAATTGCCATAAAAAACTACAGTCTAGCCATAAGATGGTGTATGGCTGTGTCCCAAACTGCCTGTTTCCTCTAAGGTGTGGGGCCTGCTGTGGAGAACTGACTGCAGAGGGGCTTCTGGGAGCCATCTTGTGATGGAAGCCAGGAGCCTCCAAGAACACGTGGTGGTGGGTGTGGAGAAAAAGATGGCCCCAGTGTCTTACCCGCGTGGATGCGAGAGGAGGCATTTACTGACCTGCGGGCCCAAGATGTGTGGGTGAAAGTTAATGGAGACTGTGGGCAGCTAAGGAAGCAATCTGGAACTGTGGTGGGCTGAGCTGTGCAGAGGTGGGTATTGGGTGTGCGTTTCTATGTAAGTCCCCCCATTTACACCCTCCCTACCCGAGGGCATAAGCCATAATAAATTCACATAAAAATATGTTATATGGTTTGTCTGATCGTGCAAGAGGCCCCGAAAGAACTCTGGCAACAATGGCACATAGCAAATATTCAGTAACTACGAAATGAATCTTTCATTTTATTCTTTTTTGGGGGTTTGAGACAGGGTCTCACTGTGTATTACTGACTGGCATGGAACTTGCTATGTAGACCAGGCTGGCCTCAAATTCAAATTCACAGAGATCTGTGCTGCCTGGCCCAAATGATTCTTGAACTTAGCCAACAAATGCTTGTAATAGGGCCCACTGTGTACAAGAAAGCAAGCCTGGGCCAGTGCAAAGGCTCATCAGGGAGACGTACTTGGGCATGGCCCTGGCAACCTGAGGTTAGATCCCTGGATCCCACAATGTGACAGGAGAGGCCTGATGTGGTGGCACATACCTTTAATCCCAGCACTTGGAAGGCAGAAGTAGGTGGTCTCTGTGAGTTCAAGGACAGCCTGGTCTACACAGTGAATCCCAGGACAGGAAAGAAAAGGTGACAAGAGAGAACCAAGGTTTTACCTCCATGCATCCTGTAGCACAAGTGGGCCTGCAAAACACACACACACACATACACACATGCATGCACGCGTGCGCGTGCACACAAACATGAAACAGCAGAAGCCAAAATTTAACAAGACTACTTACCTGGTGAAACGGCATGGGAGGACCTGTCATTCGGGAACTTCTCTTGCATGGCCATCTGTTACCTGAGACAACTGCAGAATGAAGAGGTGAGCAATCAGATCTAATACCTTTAAAAAAAATTCTCTGTGGGAGGCAGAGGCAGGTGGATCTCTGTGAGTTTGAGACTAGCCTGGTCTACAAAGGGAGTTCCAGGCCAGCTGGGGCTACAGGGAGACCCTGTCTCAAAAAAAAAAAAATCTTTGTAACTCAGTTCCCATTTAGTTGAAACCGTCAAAAAACCATTCTGATGATATAAACAAACTCAGTCTCCTCCTATTAACTCTAACATGCTTCTGACGTGGGGCAGGGGCGGGGAGTCTAGTTCCAAAAGATGGTCCCACTTCCAATGCCGACCCAAATCCCCAGGTTGTTTCATCTGTGCCTCTTATCAACTAGCTATAAATCAAGGGTCCCTGTGACTTCCTTCTAGTGTTTGATTTATTTGCTAGACCAGCTTACAGAACACAGGGAATGTTTACATTTACTGGTTTGGGGCAGGAATGGTGGTGTACGCCTATACTCCAAGTACTTGGGAAGCAGAAGCAGGAGGAATAGCCAAAAGTTGAAGGTCAGCCTGATCTACGTATCAAGACCACATCTGAAAAAAGTGGAGAGCGATCCAATGTCCACCTCTGGCCTCTGTGTACAAATGTATACATACATTCACATATACCTGTGTACACACACGAACACATACACACATGTATATCTCTCCCAAAATACAAAAGGAAGAAATGAGTTAAGTGCTGTACAAGCATGAAGACCTACAGAAAAAGCTGGATGTGATGGCATGAGCCAGTAATCCCAGCACTGGGGAGGCAGAGACAGGAGGATTCCTGGCACTCACTGGTCAGCTAACATTGAAATCTTTATGCTAAGTGAAGTGTAGTCCTTGTTTATATGAAATGTCTAGAAGGCCACAGAAAAAGCTGCCTGGGTAGGGGGACAGGGAGTGACAGCTAAAGCATATGAGCTTTCTTTTCAGGGTGATTAAAGTATTCATGATGAATGAGTTTAGATGTTTCAGTGAGATGCATCACAGAGTTTCACCTTGGAATACACTACATAGCACACTGAATTATACATATATAAATTAAATTTATGAGCCAGGTACGGTGGTGCACACCTTTAATCCCAGCACTCAGGAGACAGAGGCAGGCAGATCCCTGTGAGGTTGAGGCCAGCCTGGTCTACATAGTGAGTTCCAGGACAGCTGTGGCTCCAGGAAGACCCTGTTTCAAAAAGATTTAAAAAAATAATAATTCATGTTAGCATTATAAAGCTCCAGGTTCCATCTACAGTCCCTCCAAAAAATTGCAATGTACATACACAATGAATTT